AGACAGTTTATTTGTTTTGGATTGTGATATTTTTAATTATAAAAATTAATCTAAAACAATAAAGCTCTGTTAATTTATATGATAGTTTTTATTTGATTTATTTTTATTTTTCTTTTTTATTGTGCTTGTTTCTTTTTATTTCTTTGATAATTTAGCTCATTTTTTATTTTTAACTTTCACTTTTATTATTAAATCATTCACTTTTTTTTTATTTCTTATTTTTTCATAATGTTTTCCTTCAAATTAACTAATTGATTATATATTTTTCTTCAATACTTAAAAAGTGACAATTAAATTGATGATGAAGGTACATCAGCCTTAGGTTCTGCTTTAGCAAATTGCATTAATCTCTCAAATTTGGAGCTTAACCTTAGGTAAAATCAGTTTATTTGTTTTAGATTGTGATACTCTAATAAACTAATTAATTTAATATTTTTTCTTCAAATATTTAACAAGTGAAAATTAAATTGGTGTTGAAGGTATATTAGTCTTAGGCTCTGCTTTAGCAAATTGCACTAATCTCTAAAATTTGGAACTTAACCTTGGGTAAAAACAGACAGTTTATTTGTTTTGGATTGTGATATTCTTAAAGATAGGAATTAATTTTAAATAATAAAGCTCTTTTAATTTATTAGATAGTTTTTATTGGATTTATTTTTTTTCTTTTTTATTTTTCTTGCTTTTTTTTCTTTCTTTGTTACTCATTTTTTTATTTTTTCACTTTATTATTAATTCATTCAATTTCATATTTTTTCCTCAATATTAAAAAGTAACAATTAAATTGGTGATAAAGGTACATTAGTCTTAGATTGTTTAGCAAATTGCACTAATATCTTAAATTTAATACTTGATCTTCGGTAAAAATAATTGATTTATTTGTTTTGGATTGATATAATTTTAATTATAAAAATTAATTTTAAACAATAAAGCCATCTTAATTTATTTAATAGTTTTTATTTGATTTATTTTTCTTTTTTATTGAGCTTGTTTTTTTTTGTATTTTTATTAATTTAACTCATTTTTTTATTTTTAACTTTTTCTTATATTATTAATTCATTCACTTCTTTTTATTACATATTTTTATTAATTTTACCTTCTAACTAAATAATTAATTAATTATATATCTTTTCTTTAATATTGAAAAAGTAGTAATTAAATTGGTGATAAAGGTACATCAGATTTAGGTTCTGCTATAACAAATTGTGCTAATCTCTAAAATTTGGAACTTTACCTTAGGTAAAAATAGTTTATTTGTTTTGGAATGTGATATTCTTAATTAAAATTATAAAATTCTTTTAATTTTTATACTTCATATTTTTTCTTTATTTTTTCCTTCTAATTAATTAACTAAATAAATATGTTTTTTCTTCTAAATTTAAAAAGTGACAATTAAATTGGTGACGAAGGTGCATCAGGTTTAGGTTATGCTTTAGCAAATTGCACTTATCTCTCAAATTTGACACTTAGTTTTGGGTAAAAACAATTTATTTGTTTTGGATTGTGATATTTTTAATTATAAAAACTAATTTAAAACAATAAAGCTCTCTTAATTTATTTGATAGCTTTTATTTGATTTATTTTTTTTTTTATTGTGCTTTTTTTATTAATTTAACTCAATTAATTTTTATTTTCAACTTTAACATTTATTATTAATTAATTCATTCACTCCTTTTTATTTTATATTTTATCTTAATTTTTTCCTTCTTATTAACTTTTTAATTATATATTTTTTCCTCAATACTAAAAAAGTAGGAATTAAATTAGTGCAATTGGTGCATCATGTTTAGGTTCTGCTTTAGCAAATTGTGCTAATCTCTCATATTTGGAACTTTACCTTAGGTAAAAATAGTGTATATACTTTGGATTGTGATATTTTTAATTATAAAAATTAATTTAAAACAAAAAAGCCCTAATAATTTATTTGATAGATTTTATTTTATTTGATTTATTTTTCTTTTTTCTTGTGCTATTTTTTTTTTATAAATTTAATCATTTTTTATTTTTAACATTTACTTTAATAATTAATACATTCACTTATTATTATTTTATATTAAATCTTAATTTTACATATAATTAATTAATTATATTTTTTTCTTCAATATTTAAAAAGTGATAATTAAATTGGTGAAGGTGCATCAGGTTTAGGTTCTGCTTTAGCATATTGCACTAATCTCTCAAATTTGGAACTTTATCTAAGGTAAAAATGGTTTATTTGTTTTGGATTGTGAAATTATTAATAAAAAAAAATTAATTTAAAACAATAATGCTCTCTTAATTTATTTGATTTATTTTTCTTTTTCTTGAGTTTTTTTTTATTTGTTTATTAATTTAACCATTTTTTTTTACTTTCAACTTTTGCTTTTATTATAAATTCATTCACTTCTTTTTATTAGATATTTTTCTTAACTTTTTCCTTCTAACTAACTAATCTTCAATACTTAAAAAGTGGTAATTAAATTGGGGCAAATAGTGCATCAGATTTAGTTTCTGCTTTAGTAAATTGCACTAATCTCTCAAATTTGACACTTGATCTTGGGTAAAAATATTTTATTTGTTTTAAATTGTGATATTTTTAATTATAAAAATTAATTTAAAACAACAAAGTTCTTTTAATTTATTTAATAGTTTTTATTTGATTTATTTTTCTTTTTTTTTATTATGCTTATTCTTTTTTCTTTGTTAATTTTAATCATTTTTTTAATTTAAACTTTCACTTTTATTATTAATACATTCACTTCTTTTTATTACATATTTTTTCTTAATTTTTTCCTTCTAATTATTTAAAAAGTAACAATTAAATTGGTGTAATTGGAGCATCAGTTTTAGGTTCTGGTTTAGCCAATTGCTCTAATATCTAAAATTTGACACTTTACCTTAGGTAAAAACAGTTTATTTGTTTGGGTGGTATTTTTAATTATAAAAATTAATTTAAAACAATAATACTTACTATTTTAATTTATTTGATAGTTTTTATTGATTTATTTTTATTGTTCTTGTTTTTTTTTTCTTGTTATTTTGCTAATTTGGTTGACTCATTTTTTATTTACAACTTTTACTTTATTATTAATTCATTCACTTCTTTTTATTTTATTTTAAATTTTTTCATTCTAATTAAATATTTTTTCTTATAAAGTAAAAATTAAATTGGTGATGAAGGTGTATCAGGTTTAGGCTTTGCTTTAGCAAATTGCTCTAATTTCTCAAGTTTGGCATTTTACCTTCAGTAAAAACAGAGAGTTTATTTGTTTTTGATTGTTATATTTTTTTATTTAAAAATTAATTTAAAACAGCAAAGCTCAAAGAATTTATTTGATAGTTTTTATTTGATTTATTTTTCTTTTTCTTTTTTATTATTCTTGTTTCTTTTTCTTTCTTTCTTTCTTTCTTTCTTTCTTTCTTTCTTTCTTTCTTTCTTTCTTAGTTCATTATATCATTTTTTATTTTCATCTATTGCTTTTATTATAAATTCATTCACTTCTTTTTATTTATATTTTTTCATCGATTTATCCTTCTAATTAACTATATATTTTTTCTTCAATATTTAAAAAGTAACAATTAAATTGGTTCAATTGGTGCATCAGGTTTAAGTTCTGCTTTAAAAAATTGCACTAATCTCTCAAATTTGGAACTTTACCTTGGGTAAAAACAGTTTATTATTTTTAATAATAAAAATTAATTTAAAATAATAAAGCTCTTTTAATTTATTTCATAGTTTTTATTTTATTTTATTTTCTTTTTTATTGTTCTTGCTTTTCTTTCTTTGATAAAATTTAATTCATTTTTTTTTTTCAACTTTTGCTTTTATTATTAATTCATTCACTTCTTTTTATTTCATATTTTTTCTTCATTTTTTCTTTTAATTAACTAATAAATTAATTATATATTTTTACTTTAATATTTAAAAAGTTACAATTAAATTGGTGAGGAAGGTGCGTTAGGCTTAGGTTCAGCTTTAGTAAATTACACTAATCTCTCAACTTTGACACTTAACCTTTAGTAAAAACAGTTTATTTGTTTTGGATTGTGAAATTATTAATTTACTTTTTTTTTATAGGGCTTTCTTTTTTTTCTTTGTTTGTTAATTTAAATCATTTATTTTTTTATTTTGAACTTTTGCTTTTATTATTAATTCATTCATTCACTACTTTTTATTTCATATTTTTCTTAATATTTTCCTTCTAATAAACTAATTAATTTTTTTCATCAATACTTAAAAAGTAACAATTTAATTGGTGCAATTGGTGTATAAGGTTTAGTTTCTTCTTTAGCAAATTGCACTAATCTCTCAAATTTGACACTTGATCTTGGGTAAAAACAGTTTATTTATTTTTTATTGTATTGTGATATCTTTTATTATAAAAATTAATTTAAAAGAAAAAAACTCTATTAATTTATTTGATTTATATTTCTTTTTTAATTTGCATGATTTTTCTTTCTTTCTTTCTTTCTTTGTTAATTTAACCCATTTTTTTGTTTTCAACTTTTACTTTTTTTATTAATTCATTCAATTAATTTCATATTTTTTCTTGAATATTTAAAAAGTAAGAATTAAATTGGTGGCGAAAGCGCATAAGTATTAGGTTTTGCTTTAGCAAATTGCACTAATCTTTTAAATTTGGCACTTGACCTTAGGTAAAAGCAGTTTAGTTGTATTAGATTGTGATTTATTATTAAAATAGATATAAAACAATAAACATCTTTTAATTTATTTGATAGATTTTTGTTTGATTTATTATTATT